TCCTTACTAGACATTTACAGGAGGATGTACCTTGGTGTATGCTTTTTGCTGATGATATCCTTCTCGTGGATAAAATGAGAGAAAAAGCCCAGGAAGAACTTGAATTAGGGAGGTCTACATTAGAGTCTAAAGGCCTTCATTTAAGTAGAACTAAAGCTGAATACATGAAATTTAATTTTAGTAGTAGTAGCTCTAGTGACAGAAGTATGACTTTGGGTGATCAAATTATTAAAAGCTGTGAACGGTTTAGATATTTTGGGTCTGTTGTTCAAAGCGATGGTGATATAGATGGGGATGTTAATAGTAGAATTCAAGTTGGTTGGTTGAAGTGGAGGAATGTTTCGGGCCTTTTGTGTGATAGAAAATAACCGCTTAGACTGAAAGGAAAATCTTATAAGACGTTGGTGAGACCTGCAATGCTCTATGGCACTGAATGTTGGCCTTTAAAAGAGAAGCATAATAATAAGTTAAGTGTTGCTGAGATGAGAATCATTAGGTGGATGAGTGGTTTTACACTTAGAGTCAAAATGCGAAATGAATGTATCCGTGATAGAGTTGGTGTAGCTCCTGTGACAGACAAAATTAGAGAAAGTCGCCTTAGATGGTTTGGTCATATTAAACGTCGACCATCTGATGATCCGATTAGGAGAGTAGATGTTTTAGATTCGACTTGTGCTAAGAAAGGCAGAGGTAGACCTAGGAAGACTTGGGCTTATTGTATAAAAAATGTTCTTAATTTACTAGAACTAAATGAAAATAGGACGCAATGGAGAAAAATGATTCATGTAGCCGACCCCACGTAGTGGGATTAAGGCTTTGTTGTTGTTGTTGTAGTCAATTGTGCGTTTCTAGCTTCTCGGTTTTATTTTCTTCCTCTTGTTTGTTATGTGCAAGATCTGTACTTCAAGAAGTTGATTGGGATTGATGATAGACAGATTATATATTTTTAGATGAGCTGTGAGTTCCGGATGTTGTAGCCTCTTTGGTTGTCTTATCTTCTTTTCATCTAAGTTCTTATAACTTTTATTTATGACACTCATATTGGACATGTTTCCACTTCTTGTTTAAAGTTTTTGGCTTCTAAAGGAGCTTCAGAAATTGCTAACTCATGATATTTCAAATTGTTGTGGTTGCAAATTAGCTAAATTTTTTACTTTGCTCTTTTATAAAAATCTTTCTACTTTTCTTGCGTCATTTGATTTAATTCACTCTGATGGTGGTTATTATCTACTATTTTTACAAAAGGTGGATCTCGATATTATATTTTATTTATTGATGATTGTTCTCGTTATTGTTGTAAAATCATGTTTCAGTTACTCGTGGAAGAAGAAATGAAGAGCCGGAAGAGGAAATGAGGAAGTCGAAGAAGAGGAAGCGAGGATTGTGAAGTTGAAGAGAGGGGAGATGACACGGGCGTCAGGTCGAGTTGAGTCAGCAATACCGTGTTTGCGAGAAGAATTAGGAGGCGGCGCTGGCGACTGGAAGACATTAAGGATTAGAAGAAGAGGATGATGTGGAGGATCTCTCGTGCGATTCAACGCGCAGGAAAGAAGCTCTCTCGAGCGCTGCTGCCATACGAAGGAGGAGGTCGTATTGCTATCGTGTGCATAAGGGAGGAGAAGAGTAGGCGGAATCGCATCTCACATGGTTTAAGGCTCGACCAAAAGGTGAGTCAGTAATGATAATATAAGAATTTCATACATATAACACACACACAGATATATATATATAGGGCAAATATATTAAAGAGAAAATGTTACAGATATGTTGTATTAGTGAGGCCAAAATAGAGACTCAACCCACACGGTACAACTCACACAAAAAAAGAAAAGTAAAAACCCAAAAATAGATGGTACATATAAGATCAATCGGGACGACACAATTTAGTTCTTCCTCTACCTCTAGTTCTCGGAAGAGAACCATCTAACAAATTAGTTAGGTGCGCACCATTGCCCGAAGTAACCGAAGTATCATCCATTAGATTCCTTAGTTCAAGTAGATCTCCATTCTTTTTCTTCCTCTTGGAAGTGTAGATCTGTCATTCCTCATTTGAGGATTGTTGCTCATTCGGATGAGGTGATAGTGTTGAAGTAGAAAGATTGTCAGCAGTTGTACCCACAAGAGGTTTAAGTGTGTGTGAGGTATGAGTTGTCTTCTTTACTCCAGATACTTCCTGAAGATGAGGAGCTGCAATGTTCTCCTGATTGTCAGTCCATGTAGGTAGGGGTTCTTCAGTACTATTTTCAATATGGTTTTGCTCCGCAGGGCTATTCAGCTTCTCATCAATCGCAGAAACAATATTTTCAGGGCGAGGGTCCATAGGGGCAATTAAATCAGACATCAAATCATGTCTTGTGGTAGTTTTCTCTCCAGGTGAAACAGATATGTCCAGAGCACTGGGGTTAGATCCATCCTTATTCACTTGATCTTTAGAATTCAAATTATGATAAAGCTTATGACATTTATCAAGGATATGTCCAAACATCTTACGATGAGAACAATAAGGAGGTTTATGCTCTATGACGATTTGCTGTCAATATCCATCATGAGTTGTGTCCAACCAAACTTCAGTAACATCAGTTAAAGTAATATATCTTTCCACAAGAATTCTGGCCACAAAAGGTCTGATTAAGTTGAAAGTGGGTAGATCTAGCTTCATAGGGTCCCAAAGTATGACCTCAATAGAGTAAAAAACCTATTAATGAAAAAAGTGCAGCTTGAGACCAGGTAAACTAAACCATACCGCATACGTAAACTAAACCATACCGGTACAGTAGGAGGTTCATGAGTGGGGTTAGAAGCAGGAGACCACTTGAGTAGCTTCATTAATTTACCAACAATGTTAAGATATTTTTTGGAGAAAATCTGAGTGTAGTCTTCAGCCACAGTTAATTGAATCAATACATGTCTCCCATCCATGACCCTCACTTTCCACTGTTAATTTGATATCATCAAATCTTTTCTTGATATTTTCCATAAGTGGGTGCCCCCACGGAAATTTTTTAATAAGAGCAAACTGGACTCAGTCAGGTTTGAAATTTCTGACTCAGAGAAAAAAAAGTGTTGTTTTCCCACTTTTTCTGCTTGCATTCTTAATAAAAAGACAGTCACCTGTACCGTCACGATACTCCTTATAACTTGAGGTGAAGACAACCGTCACCTCCACCCGAGGATTACTCACCATGTGGGCAAAGGAGATTTTGTCAGGTTTAACCGAAGAAGAAAGAAGCTCAATCACAGCAATGAGAAGCACTACCAATTCGGGCAGAGGGCAAATGACTTGCCGAAGATGATCTAAAGTCGAGCCGAAGATGTTTGGGCGAAGAAGCAGATGTCGAAGCTACGGAACAGTCGCAGTTAACGGGGTCCACAAAGATAGGAAAAGTCACGCAGAAGACACGAACCGCAAAAAATGGTGACTTGACAAAGCTCAACGAAGCCAACGCTGAAGCCCTTCGTCGTTGGATAGGACGAAACAATGTGTGTAGGAGGAGACGACGTGCGCAAAATCCGAAGGAGAAGAAACCCTTTGTCGTCGAAGACGACGGAAACGATTGAAAGCTTATGGATTCAAACCAAGGAATCGCCATCTGGCGAAACCCTAGCTCTGCCCGCCACTGACGCCATATATATATAACATACATATACATATAAATAATTAGGATAACATAAAATAAATAATGGAATTTAATATTAAATAATGAAAAGTTAATAATTTATTAAAATAATAAATTATAAATTTTATACTATGTTAGGCTTCTAAATTTAAAGGAGTCAACGTCAAGGCAAATTAAATTGAAATTATTCTACATTGAGGTAAGGACTTATGTTCTTATATTATGGTAATATTTTGTTTCTTCTCGATAAAATGCTTGTTGAAATTATTATTGAATTTTATATAAGAATATTGACTGCTATGCAAATGAGGATGAAATATTTATTATTAAAAATGTAATATTTTTATAGTATGCTTGTATGTGTATGCTTAGTTATGTTGGAGTCATTGATGATATTAGTAAGGTACTTGTTCACGTATATGAAAAATGATATTGATATTTAGATACCTTAAGAGAAATAATTTTTAGACAATGTTATTATAAAGGTTGTATCGTTATAAAATGATATTGATATGCTATTGACATAATAAGATTCATTGGATAACATCTAAAATGTTTATATTGATTTATTAAAAGCCTAATTGGTATGCATATTGCTTTCTTTAACCTTGTATTACTATAATTTAGGAGTATGTGTATTCAATGTCTTCTTTAGCTCATTGTTATTTAAACTAACTTTTCAGGTTAATTTAATTGATTAAAAGATAAACGATAGAAGACAAAATATTTATAAAAGATGCAGACAATCAGTAATGTGAACTTAAATATATTGTTTTAATTTAATTTGATTAGTGATTCTTTCATTTGTTAATAGTTAGTTATATAAAATGAATATAGGAAAAATTTTAGTCTCACAGTCCGATCGTCTGTTCCCATCTCGTTTAATTTCATACCACGGGTCGGGTCGTGATAATTATGGGGTTTGTCTTATGAAATATCATTATGATTTTGTAAGCATTTATCATATATTTTGAGCATTCATTAAAACCTAACACAATATTTTTATTAAATGTTTTAGGTACAACTTAAGTGATGAATATACATCCAATCATTTTTCTGAACTACTTGCTTCAGATGGAGCTTTCCATCAAATCTCTTGTTCCGACACTCCAAAACTTTTAGTTACTTTGTTTCCGTTGATATCCTTGGGGCACTCAATTTCGGAATCTTTCTCCTCCCAGCCACTTTAACTTTAGAGCTTTGAGCTTACTCAGATGTAGATTAGGGAGGTGATTCTTTTGACCTTAAATCTAACACTGGTTTTTGCATATTTCTGGGTGATTCACTCATCTCTTAGAAGAGTAAGATGAAGAATCTTGTCTCTCGGTTTTCTTTAACCTTGAAGAATCTATTATTTTCTGCTTCCTAAATGAAAATCAGGGTATGGCTTCTATTATTGTTGAGATTATATGGTTACGATGGTTTCTTGTTGATATGGGAGTTTCCTTTTCTGAGCCAACTCCCATGTATTATGATAATACCAATGTTATTCAGATCACTCGCAATCCAGTATCTTATGAGCAGACAAATCATGTCAAGATTGATTGTCATTTGACTTGTCATTACTTCCAGAGTGGTACCATCATTTTGCCCCATATTTCTTTTACCATGCAAATTGCAGATTTGTTCACCAAGGCACACACTATTTTACATTTTCGTTTTTTAGTTAGCAAGCTCTCGATGTTTTGTTAACTCGTCTTGAGTTTGAAGGGGGATATTAGAAGTATTATTTGGTTATGATGGTTACTTACTGATATGAGAGTCTCCCTCTCTGAGCCAACTGCCATGTGCTATAACAATATCGGTGTTTTTCAGATCACTCGCAATGCAGCTTTTCATGAGCGGACAAATCACGTTAAGATTGATTGCCATTTGACTTGTCATCACTTCCAAAGTGGTACCATCACTTTGCCCCATATCTCTTTTGCTATGCGAATTGCAAATTTGTTCACCAAGACACACACTACTTTATGTTTTTGTTTTTACTTAGCAAGCTCTCAATGCTTCTTGTTAACGCATCTTGAGTTTGAAGGGGGATATTAGATATTATTATTATTTTAGGGCAGTTTAGTATTTTCTTGTTTTCCTTCCTTTTGCTTATATAACTCTCGTGTAACTTATTCTTTTTATGTGCAATATGAAACCCTAGCCTTGAAAATCATGTTTTTCTTTGGCTTCTTCTTCTCCCATTCATCTATAAACTTGCATATGTTTATCAATCTAAAAAACTTGCATATTATTTACATATCTAAGGCCTAAACTTTCATTTTTACATACATGACACCTTATCCACATATGAAAATGTGTATTCCACCTTCAAAAAGTTAAAACGCTGGTACTTTTGATGTGACATGAATGATTTAGTTGGTATAAATATAAAAAAAAGTGAGGTTTAAATATTAGATATGTAAATATATAATAATTGGGTAGTATGTATGTAAATGCCCCAAAAATAAAATAAACATGGCAACTCGCCTCATGTAAAGCTGAGTTAGTCTTTCAATTTTTTTGAGGTCCCCATTACTGCAGCACAAATTAAAGATTTGCCCCTGAACAAACCATAATTAAAAACCAATCTAAATCCTATTTTTTAATGCACCTAACATCGGATGATTTTCCAAAACTGAATTTTAAAATCCAATCTAAAACATGCTCATATTAATCCGCCTTCATACAATTCTAAGTGGGGAGTCCCACTTGGATAGCACATTCACTTGAATCTGCAACCATGTCAATTTTTGTCATTTTTATGTTCCTTAGTTCTTAGTTTCTAGTAAAATTTAACTGATTGACAGCCTATATTCCATTGCAGTTTGAAAATTGGATTGAGTTTGAAACAAATCCTCTCTATGCTCTGTTGCATGAATCTATATATTGCCAGGTAATCTTTTGCACTTATATAGCTAGGTCATGGTGCTACAGGTAAAACAGCTGTAGTTGTGTATTATTGATGTGTGTCCCTCGTTATATCCTGAAGGGTGCTTCATCACTGTGGTCTGCTCACAAAGTAAGAGGCGAATATGAGAGCATATTCGACGCCATCAGCGCTGCCAAAGAAGCTCGCCCGGTATTTTTCACAGGAGAGGTAAACCTTTATTTTGTGAGAAAGGAATCTGAAAATAATAACAAAAAGTTGATAATTATCTTAACAGTGATGCTGAAATTATGGTTGCCTTTTTATGGCTTAAACCGGTTTTTTCATGTTGTTGATAACTCAATCAAACTGCTTTCCGTATTTGAATGTGTTAGTTTGGTTTTGTAACTCTGCACATGTTTATATTTAAATAAATTCATGTAGCAATCTTGAAGCAGTCGAATGAGTTTTTGTATCAAACGTTCATGTTTTAATGTATTCGAGAGAAGTTGAGCTGGTAAAAAGAAGATTTTGGCGGTATTGAATTGATTTTTTGCACATGAAAGAGAAGAACTAATGTAAAATAATTATTAGGAAGAAAAATTGGTTGATTGAAGATAATATTGATGGAGCTGTGTAAAAAAAATTGAAAAAAAACATCTGTTTTACATTTTAGATAACAATCAATAGAAATAAATGAATGATGTTGATCGATAAGGCTAGCTCTATGTCAATCAGAAAGGACGGAAATCAGACAACTAAATTAGTTTTATATAATTAGGAGCTTCTTTATTTAAATTATTTCCAATTTATTTATTCTAATTTATTTCCCTGTTAGCTGAATATTTAGATTATGAATATGCATTTGAATATGCATTATTCATTATTAAGTTACCTAAAATAGATAGATTTTACGATTATTATTTAATGAAATGAAAGCAAAGGAAAAAGGCACCGAGCCTATTCAGGATTCGATCTAATGGCAAGATGGCAAATTATGAGTTTCTCTTTCAAGACAAAACTTTTCATGCATGCAGTAACATGGTTTGCAGATGGTGTTCCCATGGATGTTTGACGAATTCAATGCTTTAAGACCCTTCAAAGAAGCTGCTCACTTATTAGCCGAAAAAGACGATTGGCCGCCGCTATACGATGTCAAAGTGCTCAATAACAATCAAGTATGTTGCTAATTCTTTCATAAACTTGGAATTATATGATATTTATGGTACCTTAGATTTCATGTTGCATATAATCTCTACAGGTTCCTGTTGCTGCTGCAGTGTATTTTGAAGACATGTATGTGAACTTTCATCTTGCCATGGAAACATCATCAGAGATTGGTGGGATCAGACTGTGGGTAACTAATGAATACATGCACACAGGGCTTCGTGATAGTGGGTCCCAGGTTTTGGATCAATTGATGGGGATGTTGCAGGGGAAGAAGCCCTGGTTTTAGTATGAGATGATTTGAATCTTGTTGATGTTTCTGATGGGGTTTTAATGAGTACAATATGATGCATAATATCCCATGAAAATAATCCTGAAGTAACGCAGAATGACTTTATTAAACTTGAGCTTAGACTTTGTTATGTGATATGGTGAGTTGGAAAGGACTTGTTTTTTAAGTGGTTGTCATATTGAAGAGAAGATTTTATTGTTATCATGCACAAATATTTTTCCTTGCATTCTTTTTCTAATAATATCTACTATTTATAGCTTTTGAAAATAGAGCTAAAATATATAAAAGTTATATCCTGAATACTCTCAAAATGGTAAGTTCTTAATAAAAATAACAAATATTTTTAAATTATTAATAAGTTTAATTTTAATTAAAATTCATGAATATATTAAATTGTACATAAAAAAAAGATAAATTCAATGGAATGAAAGTGAATCTAAAACTTAATGATTTAAAAGAAATTGTAAAATGTAGCTTTGTATGTGTTTTTTAAAATTTCAAAACATATTAAATAATCTTTAAAAAATTAGAAATGTTTTTTATTAACATCTATGTTATTGTAAGTTATCAAGATTGCTATATAAATTTTTAAAATATTAGTTTATTTTAAAATGCTCTTATTAAATTATTTTGATAACTTTAAAGCTATCTAAGAGGCATAAAAAATTATTAGTATAAGAAAAAAATAAGACTTGTTTAATGATAAAATTTATTTGCTCATTATTCTTAACTCAAAAATTTATATAAAGTAATGGAAATAAAATACAAATTAAAAAGCATCTCAACTTATTAATATTTTTAAATTAACATAAATTGTGCAAATTAGAGGTAAATCATAAGGGTAATCCGACGATATTTGAAGGTTATCGCCAGATTTGCGTCTGTTTATGTCTGTTTCTTTTGTAGATAAATTAGCAGTCGATAATGCAATTTTGGTCTCTCTAACGTCGAAATAATTCATCGTAATGTATTTTTGTCGTAATTTTTGAGTCTCATTAGCGTTAGTTCTCGCTGAGGCTACACGTGTCTGTATTTAGGGCTATAAACGAGCCAAGCTTGAGCGAGCTCAGTCTTGGCTCGTGTTCGGCTCATTTGAAATAGCTCGTGTTTGAAATTGGCTCGTGAATAGTGTGTTCGTGTTTGACTCAAATTAAATATCCGTGTTCGTGTTCGGCTCGAAATTGACAGAAAAATTAAATTGAAAAAAATAGATGTAAAGTGTGGGATTCGAACATGGACCAAATATATAAAAAAAAAGACACAAATCATATTACCACACGAGATGATATGATTTAAACTTAGATATAAATATATGTAATATATTATTATATAAATAATTATATATTTTTTTAAATTTCGAGCTAAAACAAGCCGAACAAAGAGCTGTTCATGTTCAACTCGTTTATAATTCGAGCTTTAAAAACTTGTTCGTGTTTGGCCAGGTTTTT